AAGAAAGTGAAAAGATTTTTGAATTTACGATGTGAGCGACGGAAATTTTTTGATTACTGCTCATATTCAGTGCTCATAAATTTGCTGCAAGACACTCAGCGAATAATTCAGATAATCTGGACTTATTACTGGCAGAAAGCATTCGCTAAAACAACAGTTCCAAGAAAAAGTCCTCGCGCCGATGAGATATCCATCGATCTCATCGTCAGATCTGACAATGCGGCAAACAACCACCTAATGTAACAAATTTGATTTGTACGTAAAAACAAATTAATCTGAAATATTCACATTTTTCAACAACTGTTGCCTATTCAGTGCATAAACATTCAGTAAAGGAATTCGATGACGCCGTTATGATGTAATAATCAAAGTCCAAAAAATGCGAATCAACTAGCAGCAGTTCATATAATGTGCAATCGTGTTTGGATTTTCATCGTTACTAGAAATTCGCGGTTTCAAACACTGTATTGCGGATGATGTGAAAATTTCAAGGTGTCCATCCCTGCTTCCGTATCCACGTCGCGGATTTTTTGTAGAGCGCCCAAATAATGATGACGATGATTAATAATGGAAATGATAACAAATGCGAACTTGGATCATTGGTGATAGCATAGATGGCATAATCACAATATGAGGTATACAACTTAATGAACATTCTCTGATCATTTCGTCAATCCACGACATTTTGCCTTCCTTGCAGCACACTGATTTGGACAAAACATGATGAGTGTTTTGGTGACGATGGTTAAATTTGGTGGATGTTTACTGACAAATTGCGTGTGCTGTAAAGTAAGTGTACTGTAACATGCACTTCACTCCCGCTTTCGATATGTACTGATCAAAACACGTTCGTATCTCCAAACCACTGCAAGGGAATCGCGTTCTTTGATTCATTCTCTGCTCATCAATATCGAACTTGTAAAGCTGTCACTTTATGCAGTGAGGGCATTTTCGGCACTGGATCAGTGCTTCTGCTATAATCTGCATTGATGTTTCTGAACAGAGATTGTTGGTTTAGTGGTTGCGGGACATTATTTTAAGTTTCATTGCAAAAAAACAGCTTGAACTCTGAATTTTGAACTCCTTCGGTCGATCGCTATCAGCATTTATTTTCAACAATTCTTCGGCGAAAGAAGTCAGTCTTTGGGATGTGTACACAAAGCACTCACAAACAACATCAATTAAACGTTTCCAGACAATGCACTCATCAATCAACAAAGGCGAATCGTTAATGAACTATCGTCCGTCTGAACCGTTATCACTAATGCTATTCCATGTTTTTTTCGGTTACGGTTACATATTCCTCCAATGAAGATTAAAAACTTTCGATGTGTTCTCGTTGTTGAAATTTCATCGGTGATGTGACGAAATCTAATGAATGCATTTCAGACATCCAAACAAACAAATGATTTTGTAACATATGATCTGCATCTGAAATTTTTTTCTTCCAATCGTTTATTTCATACATTCAACGTTAATGCATCAAATAATGTGCTCTTGCCTTTTTATTAAAACAACTGAAATTTAGTTGTTTCTTTTAAGCTGTCCGATTCTTGTGGTGCATCTGATTGTAATTGAGCTTGTAAATGAGATGTTTATCAGATTTGATATTAATTCTGACAAACTCGAGGACGTTTTTGATGGTTTGTCGACAGAATTTTTGATGAATGTTCCTCAAAATGGTGGTGGTACTCTAAGATTTGTCAATGAAAGATCATTTTTTTGCAATATCTTGAATTAACCAAAACAACGTTAGTATCGCTAAAATTCTTGCGCAAACCGCACAGATATGTGATACACCTGAGATTATATTTTGAAAAAAACAACTATAATATTGAACTAACTAAAAAAAAACTAGCTAACTAAAACATTTACTAAACTATAACTATAAATACTGAACTATAAAAACTATAAAGTATAAAAAACTAAACTAAACTATAAAACTAAACTAAACTATAAACTACTACTAAACTAAACTATAAAAAACTAACTAAAAAAAACTATAACAATACATTTAGAGTTTTGGGTTAATTCAATGGATACGTCAACGTTTCGTTCGATTTTTGATTTATGAAAATTGCTAAACAGCTTTCAAACTGCTGATTGCGACACTATCAAACGACTGGATCACGACGGCAATTTATCAACCAAATGAACTCGGGAGATTAACTGAGATATAATGCTCGTCTAGGACCATCAAGTGTCTGTTAGTTTGCTTTTGTGATGATTTATTTGCTTCGGCCACCCGGAAAATGCTTCTTCCAACCATTGAGTAAATTTGTTTCTTGTCAGACATATTGATATCTTTCCATTCTTTTCTGAGCTTATCCCAATCACTTGGACGGAATCATTCATACGTGGTGAAGATACTGAATTAATCACACAATTTCATATTGTTGAACCCAACAAGCCAGCGCAATTGACGATAAACTATGGACTCGGAGTGAAGAAATTAATCTTACTTCCTTTCAGCTTTTAAGTTTTTGCTTTTGCTCAAACCCAGCCAATATCATCACTCAGCACCTTGGAATTTCAAAAAAAAAACTTTGCAAAAGAAACATTTTGTGATTCTGCAAAAAATTTGCAACGAAAAAATGTTGTGCTTCTTTTTAAGTGTTCAGCCGTGAACTGATTGGTTCTACAAGCAGTTCGTCGAGAAGAAGTAATTTTGAACATTCACCTTTTTTTGTCATCAAAGTGATCATATTTTGATCAAAAATCTCTAATGCCAAATTTATCTCCTTTTAAATTCAAAACTAAACAATGATGTTCGGCTCGGATTCACACAGATATGGATAACTGACGAACCAACATCGTTCTATCTTCTTCGCTTCAAACGAATACCAACGTGAAAACTGAAATGTACTCGTTGTGTTCTCAAAACATGAAAACGTTCCCGTATATTTTGTTTGAGTCACTTGATCAGTATGAATATTTTCTCTTTAGAGATGAATATTTATGCGCATTATAAAAAACAATGAAAACAATATCGGCGAATAAAACATGAATTGAACCAATTATACACTGAAGCAAAGGCACTCTAACGGAGCGAAATGAAACTTGCTTGACAATACAGTAGTGAAAAAAAGCAACTAAAAAGTATGCATGATGCATGATTATGGAATGTTGGTTCAATATTTTAAATCGCAAGTGAATTGGGAATTTGCTTGCCTTACTGAGCATGTCCTGTGAGCAAATTGGCATTCAAAACTGACCATTGCAGTTGGCAGTACTTTTAATTAAGTGGACTTTCTTCAATTGTTCCATGCATTCAGTAAGTGTATTTCAGTAGAATTGAGTTCAACGAAAAAATTTTGCAAGCGAATTCATCACTTCAGCACAATGTGCTTGCTATTCAAATGAAAACATTCGGCAAAAGTGCAAACGCGTTGAGTTTATAAACGAATATAAAATGATGATAATCAGTGAGTATTATAGTGACTGCTTGCATGGCGTTGTGAAGAGGGTATATTTTCGAGACTGAATTTTCATGCGAATCCAATGACTGAATAGAAGCGAAACTTGCCTAGAACGAAGCGATCAGCGAAACGCATTATTATGAAAGTCATTCGAAAAAATTTTGAGGCAATTTGAAATATTTGTTCGGAAGTGCGATCAAATTTCATGCAAGAAAGTTTGTTTACTCTCCATAATCACGGCAGAGCATTACATTCATCAAAGGCATTCAATGAATTCCAAAAATTCAATACATCTCAAAGATCTCTCATAGCAGTGACGTGAATGAAGCAATGAACGTCATTGAAAACAGAAAACTTTTGGTTATTCTCTATTGAGAAGGCTCTCTCTAGAGGGGTCTAAGTGGCCCGATCTGCAACTCGCAATGCATCAATTCTTGACCGAACTTCGAGCGTTCTTGTCAGAGAATTCCTGAGACCTCAGACTAGACACCGACCAAACCCCACTGCTATTCCTCGAAGCATTCCTGAGACCTTGTCATTCGCCTTTATCTGGGGATCACAATTTTGAAAATCCACCTGATGTTGCAATGAGCTGACGCTCCTCGATAACCAAACAAACGTAACGGATTAGTGAAAAATTGCATGAAAAAAAAACTTTGGAATTGCTTTCATTGCTTTTTAAAGTTTATTCATTTTGTGTTACTGTATAATATTGAATGGAAACGTGTATGTTTGAATTTGATACAAATTTAAGTGATTGTGCAAATCGTTAGCAAACACCATCCATTTCGGTCTCAACATCGAAAATATCCGCATCCTCATCGGTCACCAAATATTTCGCACGTCCTTTCTTCTGCACCTTCACCTTGCTGAGAGCCGGTTGCTCGAATGCAGCTGAAGTGTTTCGTTGCGAATGATCCGGTCCCACTTCGTAGCTGAATGTTCGATAGGCGCAAATGCGTTGTTCTTGTTGTTCTGATTGGAAATAGAAGCACGGTTGAGCACCTGGTGCGATATAAAGGATATCGCCTCGTTTTACGCGACATCGATTCTTCTCTCGGCGTTTACCACGCTCGGAAAGATTCTCCAACTCAGCACTCCCATCAACTATCACCATTATACTGCCACAAGTCAAGCGTGGTATTGGAATTGGTGAATCGTCACTTGCCGACTCGATCTAAATCGGTGAACTGGCGTTAGGCTTAGAGGATACAAAATTCATTTGGAATCTGTTGCCTGATAAGAGAGGGGAAACTCCAACGATCAGTTTCGTCAACACATCGTTTTCTTTGTCATTGCTATAGCATGAACTATCAGTTTTACCTATGCGAAGGCAGTAGTTCGTAAATCTTACAGTGAGAACATTAAATCATGGCTACGAGAAAATTTACTTAAAGAAAGAATAGTTGGTTTTATTATATGATAGCAACACAATGGTTTTATTATATGATAAGTTAAGATTTGAAAGTTTTGAAATAGCCACAAATCGAAGTGAATGCTTATTATCAGCGAAGAATGNTTTACTTAAAGAAAGAATAGTTGGTTTTATTATATGATAGCAACACAATGGTTTTATTATATGATAAGTTAAGATTTGGAAGTTTCCGTATGAAATAGCCACAAATTGAAGTGAATGCTAATCGCTAGCAAAGAATGAAAACGAATGCGCTACCTTAATTTCATGTAAAGTGAAGTCTTTACAGTCCGGTGCATATTCATGAACGTGTTCGAATCCTTCCAACTGTACGGCTGGTACCAGATAGTATGACGGGTCACCCATTCGATAGTTCAACACTTCGCATAGGCCCTCAACGTCAATGTATTTCGGTGTGCATGCTGCTCTGATCGTGTTATTCGAACAACCCACACATTCAATACATTCTGCAAATGGCCACATTACCGACTTTCATCCGAATCTCATGTAAACTCATTTCATGAGTGGAACGGTTCATATGAAATGAATACTTATCACATCATTCATTATCATGCACAAACGAAAATATTCACACAAGATTCAACTGTATTCTTGAACCCCCATAATGGATGAACTGGAATTGAGATTATATGGATAAGATCATATGGATCAGATGAGATATGGATAAGATCATATGGATCAGATGAGATATGGATAAGATCATATGGATCAGATGAGATATGGATAAGATCATATGGATCAGATGAGATATGGATANCACTTAAACAGCCTCGTACTGAAAATAATTCGGATACATTCAATGATCTTCTGTTGCAATAGAATTGGCCTATTCAGGTTTAGAACCGGTACTCTTATGCAGAGCAAGCAAATGCTTTCATCAGATCATTAAATCATATTTACGATTAGATATTATCTTATAGCGTGATAAATATAAGTATCAATTATCCAAACTACCCCCACTCAGCAACTCGACTCTACAGGTGAGTGGTCCAGGCGAACTTTTTAGACCTACAGCTAGCTTCATAAGGCTAATCATACCCTACGTTCGTGAAACTCAGTTTTATAGGGATATATTCTTTCAACCCGTCAGTCTGAAATGTACAGAAAAACAATTGAATTGATAACAAAAGCTGCACTAACCTCCAGAATCAAGTTTTAGCAAGAAACTCTCGATGAGTGCCTTGACGTGTTGTGTGTCTTCTCGTGCATGTATCAGTTTTTTGAAGCACACAGCCAACGCAGCCTTCGTGGTTGCACACTGTTCACTGACACCGGCTTGCACCAGCACTCGGAATGCTGTCGACGTGTCCTCTCCCATCAAATCACCCAATTCTGAGAATTCTACAACGAAAACTTTTCACTCCATTTCAGTTTTCCTTATGACAAATTTAGGCAATTCCATTTTCAAACTCCAATGCGCATCACGCTCTCAATATTGAAATCAGTTGATCTTGGTCGATCTAGTTCGCGAATATACGTAAATTTGGAATATATGTTCATCTAGAGGATCAATGCTCACAATTAACAGGAGATTCATCTGACGCTTGATTACCAGAGTATAATGCAAAATAACTCAACGCATGACTCGAATTTTTACAGGCACATTAACGGATGACTCAAATTACCTGCAATGTTGGTGGCTATTTCAGTGGCTGGTCTGAATCCACAGAGAAGTTCGAATTTTGTGAGTGCATAGGCCAGTTCCGGCTTGTGATTTCGATCCGGGTAATGCACTGGATCACGATCGTTCAGACGTGCCGCTTGCTCCTGAAACATTTCATTTTAACTAAAATTTGAGCATGATGTATTGACGAGCTGCGTCAGACAGAAGCCGAGTCGCCGACCACTCGATCTTTCCAAGCAGCAGCACGACTGAATGGATTATCACCGAGTCAGTTCTCAGCACAAGCACTCGCGTTAGCACGTTTCAATGAAATTCACCCAAGCAAAACCTCCACAATTTTTCATTGCTGACTGTCAAGTTTGTCAAATTTTGCAAAATTTTGTCAAAATTTGTCTTTCGCACCATAACTTTTATGCCGTCACTATCTCCACAATATACGTCAACAAGATGTTCTGCGTGATAGCTCGTGAATCCCTACGATGAATCCCCATTATCCTATACTTCGCATTTCAGTGTACCCAAAACGAATTCAGCCGGCAGCAATGTCCTTGCTCTATGCTATCGAAGCAACATGCACAATTGAGTGCCTGTCAAACACTACAGTTTTGGTGGAATAATATTACATCGTATTTCACGCAATAAAACTCGTTTTGATGCAAATTTTTCGAGGCCTTCAGAAGCTACCATATGATAGTGCAGAAAATAAGTGCATGTAGTTGTTGAAATGTTCAATGAGAGAGCGATTGTGGAAACGGAGCGATAGACTTTTCTCGCTTTGTCGTCTTAAGAACATGGGGCGATTCATTGATCAGAAGGGATTCAATGATGTCAAGAACTTGTTTCATGCTGAAAACGAATAGCTTGAACCTTAGTCGGATGTGCTTGAAGTGATAGGGTTCGATCGATGCTCATCAACTTCATGATAAACGGTAGATGTGTGTCTTTGGTGCTCTTCTCGTAGACACTTGTCTCACTCTCGGTGATATAATTCGACAACTTCATATTGTTGCGTTTCAGCCGTGCTGGACCATCCGGATGTGTTCCCATCCATAGCTGAAATACAGTGCTTCTATGAGCAAAACGACAACTGAGATGCTGGTAAAATTGCGCAAAATATCAACGATTACAGGCCAGTCAGCCACTCATCACACACGCTAATTTTAGTTTTCCTTCAAATGCTTTTCTGGTGATTGCTCATTCGGTGTGCTCACGTTTGCTATTCCAGCTAGAATAGCAAACGCAAGGATCGAAAAATAGTGAGCGACTCGTAAACTTGAAGTGAAAGTTGATCATGATTCGTTGGAAATGATCGGAGGCGGGAGTTCGTCTGAGAAATCAAACGGAAGGAAATGCCTCTTTTTCAGATGAAGCCAAACGCAGACCTACCTCAGCATACGATTTCTGCATGTCAATAGTGGCATTCTCGTGACCGGCTTTAAAAACACGTGCAACCTCACTGTCCAAGCCTTTCTTTCCCCACGCATAGTTCTGCACATGACATTGCAGTCGTTCCATAATGTCTCTATGAAACAATTGCCTGAAATCGAATATTGCTCGGAGTTATTGTCATGAATCACTGACTATTCGAAGAAACGCCGTATGCTTACAAACGTGCGCACAAAAACATAAATCAGCATGAATATAATGATAAATTTATGAGCTTATGCGCATTTTGATAATCAGTTGTAAAAATAGGAGATCGGTACCGTTCCTGGACTTCGTTTTACGCGAACAAAATTTGCAGATTTCAACAGATCAACAGATTGCACCCACAAAAAAACGTAGGCATCGAGAAAGCGATATTTGTAAAGAATATTTTTGCTGCTAGACGTTGTCATTTGACGCAAGTCTTATGGTCTGTTCAGCTTATTGTCATCGCGATAAATTTTCTTCAAAAGGAAAAACAGATGCGGAGTGCAGTCAGAGTACGACGATCCTTCGTTCCGAAAGTTTTCTGCAATTCGTCTTGAAAGTCACACCATCACTTTCACTGTCATGAGCTTTCTACTTAAGAATTTGTGAGGATGATGTGAGGAAGTCCGTTCAACGATACAAGAGTACACGGAACTGTGATTCAAGGTCGAAAATTTTCATCAGTAGACAAATTGGAAACTGGAATGCTAGTGATAAACTATATCACAAGGTTGATAGAAATTACTAGCAGAATTTCTGATTACTAGCAGAATTTGATGAAAGGCGCGAATGAAGATGATTCTCGCGATTTGTTTGAACTTCAAACTTCTGCGATTCTTTTGCAATTCGGACTTCCAAAATTCAATTTGATAGAAATTTTGCGATTTTAGGCGTTGACAGCATGTGTTTTTCAAAATTCTGCAGAATTCAGAGTATTTGCCCATTTTTTGGGCAGGAACAATAATGATGAATGATAATACATTGATGTTGATGATAACGATGCTGAAAAGCAAAGCAAATCGAATGAAACAAAAGACGTTTGATCGCAAAACTGCAACAAATGTTCATTCTCGTAACAACGAAGAATGTCTATCGATAATGTTGTGATCAGACATCACGAATGATTACATCGGCTCTCATCTGAATTCTTCGCTCATCTCAGACGAGAACCATTCATTTTCGTATGCTACTTATTGTGTTACTATCAAAAGTTACAAGTTTCAAGTGAATATTATTACGAGTTCAGCCAAATACGTAATTAATATCTCACTACAGCGTCACCACTAAATAACGTCTCATATTGCACCATTTGAATTTCATGGTATCTGATTGCGTATCGCCGCTTCTCCAAGCTACTAGCTGAACCTATGGTTCCTAACGTTATGGCGGTTCCTACCTATTTCAGTCCTTGGGGTGTAGACTTACTGTTGGTGAAAAATCAGATAAAATCAATAAATTCACCCGATAATCAAGAATTCTGCAGTAAATAATTTTTTGATAGTGTTGTAAGAGTCACTTGCTGCAGAACAAACGAGTATTTCAAGGAATTATCAAAAATGTGTTTACAAAAAAATCAGTAAACAATAATTTGCAAACGGTCTTAATTTCCAAAGAGACGCCCTCAAATTCCCCATCAAAATACTTTCCATCTACAAAGATCACTGCACAGAACGTTT